ATAGAGACAAAGCCGAAAAGAAAATGAATGAATGGTCTTCAGGAACACTGCTGCACCCAAAGGGATCAGTTGCTGCATTTCATTGCGGCTCAGTAATTAGCACTGTTGCCTCACAGCAAGAAGGTCACTGGTTTGAGTCCTAATTGGAATTTTTTATGTTAAGTTTGCATGTTTTCCCCATGTGTGGGCTTCCTCCAGGTGCTCTGGTTTCCCCCACAGTCCACAGACATGCACTGTAAGTAAATTGGATGAACTAAATTGGTCGTAGTGTATGAGTGTGTGTGTGAATGTGAGAGTGTGTGGGTGTTTCCCAGTACTGGGTTGCATCAGGACGAGGATCAGCTGCATAAAACATATGCCTGAAAAGATGGTGGTTTGTTCCGCTGTGATAAATAAGGGACTAAGCCAAAATAAATGAATGAGTGAATAAATGCAAGGATGCATGGATGAATGGATAAATAAACCTAGCTAAATGTATAAATGTCATTGCCACAGGATTTTAATTTTTAATACTTATTAAAAAAAAACAAAGCTTTTTATGACAATAGATTGAAATGGAAGATTCTAGCTTTATATCTTTATTTAACTGCTCACAAACATCATTACAAAATGTCTGACACCATGGGCCTAATAAAGGGAGATAAGTACAATGTTGAAAATACTTCATAAATTGTTTTCTTTTTGTCTTTTGCAGAGTCTAAATGTGTGTCTGTATGTGTCAACAACTTTCAATACAAAATCATATTTGTATAAACTGCTTTTAATAAAATACCATTTCAACAATACAGACAATACATTCACATTCATGTGGATTTGTGGAAAAAGGGGGCAATTAAATATATTATGAGGATAAAATACATGAAGTGTGAAGAAAGAAGTGATCAACACATTCTACATTTGTCCCAAACATTACGTAAATTCAAGTTCATCATTACATTAGCATCATTTTCAAATAAATAAATATTTCCTTAAATAATAGTTTACATATTATAGACATCCAGGCTTTGCTCTTGAATTTCTCTAGAAGAGGCTGTTTCGAGTGGAGTACTGTACATTGTAAGACTGTCTCCTGTGCCAACGTCTTCTGATTGCTGCACAGCAACCACACAGCAAACACTGAGGACAGATAAAATAAGCGTCAATATCCTGGAAATCACATTTTAGCATATCATTTACCATGAAAACAAAGCATGCATTGCAAATATTTGACATCCTGTCATCATAATACGTACACAAAGGAGAATCCAGCAAGGTACAAGCATGATGACAATCGCGCAGGGTACAATGATAGCCACAACCCATGCTGCATTTGTGCTGTTGCCTGAAATCGTAGTGTTCAGAACTGTAGGGTAAGTGGTGGCTGGAGCAGGTGTGGTGGAAGCTCCGAGTATAGAGGCGACCAAGCCAAAAGCACCAACATCACTGTCTGAGAACACGTACGTGACATTGGCTTCAATGATGGAGGAATTGCTCCTGTAGAGAGATTAAAACGCACAATGAGAAATGAATAAATAAATAAACTGAGCATGTCATGCTCCTACCATCATTCATAAAACTACTAATGAAAGCTGTTTTTAAATCAGTGTTGCCAGATTGGAAATGTCAAAGTATCGTACCAGAACCTCAAAATTATCTTATTGGAGGAAAATTATCATACACAAGTCAAACGGAGAGTATACAGGCATTATCTAGTCAGATAGCGTTTTGACACCTGGTGCAAATTACCGAATTACGTAAAAAAAAAAAAAAAAAACACTAGGCATACCTGAGGGGAAAGATCTAAACTCCACCTCCGAGTCACTGTCCTGCTTGTGTTGCCAGATGTTAAGGGATTCATTTTGGGGTACAAATCGGATGCCGTCATGCACGGGCAACATAGTGCTAAATGGCTTGAAAGCAGTGCACTTTCCCAAATTTTTACAAACTCTGAGGTGTGCATGAGCCTATTTAAAGTATAACTTTGGAAAAACACGTTGACATGACGCATTTGAATGGGCAAACTCCCCTGTCCTTCTCACTTTCCTTTCCAGCACTACTTTTACAAAACTTTATTGCAATAAAGCAATAAAGTTCAACCTCAATCAACCTGTACCTGAAACTGACTGACTTAAGCACTGCCATGCGCAGCAGGAATGTTAATTCACAAGAAAAAGTCATTTTCCACGTTGATTGGCTGAGAAAGTGTAACGTGAGATGAGATAGAAAATGTGTCTAACTCCACGTTCTCTTCACAGACAGTAGACAAAAGATGCAGCTAGATCAATATATAGAAGCCCTAAGATTACAATGAAATGTGTTTTAAATGCCATAAAATTCTGAAATTATCGTATTTTATAGGATTTTTTTCATTATTGATCATACATCGTACAGAGGTCAAAATTATCGTACAAAACACTAATTATTATCCGTCTGGCAACACTGTTTTAAATCATTAAAATATTTCTTCTTAAAGTGAACTTACAAGAAAGCAATTTGGTTGAAGTTAAAGTCAACAGTTGTTGTTTTATTGAGGATCTTGGACACCTATGGAAGAAAAAAAAAAGATGAGTAAAATGTTGTGATTGATGGGCATGAAATAACGCAATTTCTCTCACAACTCACAAAGCTGTTTATGTAGGTCTGGATCACGACATAGGTGTCATTCCTGAGTTCAACTTTCTCAGACATGGTTACGTTGCTGATTTCAAATCCAAAGTTCAGAGAGAATGAGGTATCATCAAGTTCTTAAAAAAAATATTAAAATAAAACAACAATTAGTGGTGCGGTTACATGTGGATCTAAATATTTCACTTAACCATTTATTATTTAATAAAGATTTATACACAGTTCATTTTGCACTCATATGTTATTTTTCAAAGCAGCGACAAAACAGGAATGTAAACTATAAAGAGAACTCACTTGTATAAGTGACATTGACACCATTCACAAGGTCTTGCAGCTCTTTTTCTGTGATGGATCTTTTAGATTTCATTTTAAATCTCAACAACAGGGAATTTGCCATCTGAAGGACGTTGCTCTGACTTGGCAGAGGGCCTTTTGTTTTAAATATAAGGCTGATGTAGATAACCACCTTCCCAAGCCTGCAAAATAATTTTTTTGTCACCATCAAGTTATCACAGCATCAAAATAGTAGAATCAGTCCAATACAGCAATGTTATCAGCATAAGACAAATTACAGGAGTGAGATGAAAGCTTTATCATATGTTTAATATGATTAAAAGAAAATAAATACTGGCTTTGTATAGCTAGATTTGAATTATTGCTCTTACAAGGTTGGAGGAGAGGTTATCAACAATGTGCTGGCTGTCGTTAAAGCTGAAATAAAAGTAGTAGATTAGTAGGGCAGAATTCTGCTTTAAAATACAGCAGTTATTTGTAAAGAAAGGCAATTAAATTTGACATACCAGGTGCAGATGTGGTAATAACTCCATTAACTTTCAGAATTTCTTGGACCAAGGTACTGGTTGTGTTTACATTACTTTGTGAGAAAACAAACTGAACATTGGCCTGAATCTCATTATTAGTATTGCTGTGGAGAGATTTAGACACGTGGTTAAGAATGCTGGTAAACAACTAAATGATCGTATCAATCAACTCCATCTTAACCTATTAACTACCCAATCAAGAAAAAAAATGTTTAGATTGCATTAACTTAACTCCTAATGTTGCTAGCTAACACACTCAATGCCTTTTTCAACACATCCCATATTTTCTAAAATATCAGCCTCTACCAAATGGTTGATATGTCGGTTTATGTCAAAAGTACAGAGCTTAATACATTACTATTAAAAATCTAAAAATATATAGCATAAGACCAATTTTTTTAAAGAAAATATTTAAAATGAAACACTTTTTAAATACTAATATTTATCATTCTTTAATTGACTTTAACAGGCATTATTTAAAACACTAAAACTATGGTAAACCGTTTGGTAGGGTAAGTCAAAGGGTTAAGCATCTAATCAAATACTGAAAACTACTGAGAAAGATTACTTGAATCATCAAACATTACTGATCAATAAAAGATTGCAGAACTCACTTGAACACCACTTGATTTAATTCAATTTGAGGAGGTGTGGGGTCATTCAGGACTTTGGGCAGCTAAAGAATGATTCATTTAAAAATAGATTAATGTTTATTAATATGTCATGGGTAATGTTATTTAAATAAGACATAAATTTAATTGGGGTATCTCGCCAAAGTTGGGGTAACTTACCAAATTGTTTATAGAGGTTTGGATTTGAACGTAGGTTTCATTCCTCAGTTCAAATGTCTCACGCATGGGCACATTGCTGATTTTGAATTCAAATATGAGTACATAGGAGAAATCACTAATCCCTTAAAACACAATAAAATCATTAGTTGTGTAGTAACATACTGTATTTTCTTCTGCACTATTTCCATTAATAAAAAATAGCTGAAATAGAAAGGAAAAACTCACTGTTATAGGTGACATTCACATAGCTCGCTTGCATGTTTTGTGTGGTGACATCCTTAGTTTGCAAACGAGAAGTGACCAAAGAATTGACCAGTGGTATGATGCTGTTTTCACTCGGTATTGGGCCCAGAGTGATGAACTGAAGCTTAATAAATATAGTAACCACTCCCATCCTGCCAAAGATGATAAAATGATAGGATTGTAAAAACAGATTCGGAAAGCACCTGGCTTTTACAAAATCATACTAGAATAATGCACTTACAAAGTTGGTGGAGACGTTGTTGTTGTTGTTGTAGTTGTTGTTGTTGTTGTCAGACTGCTGGTTGTTGTTGTGACTGTAAAATAAAGAAATTGTTAAAGTGATAGTTCACCCAAAAGAAAAAATCCTCATTTACCCCACTCAAGTGTTCTGTTGTCTGTTATTAAATAATGACTTCTAGTTGATCATTTGGTATCCGAAATGGCAAAAAGCAAAGGCCTCTAGATTGTTTTACCAAAATAAAATATAATCATGCTTTGATTTTATTTATTGAATTAGGAAAGTAAGGTCTGATTTTGCTTAGACAAAAGTCTTGTCACTTAACAGTAATAATGTACAGTATAGAATATAAAGTCAAGGTGCAGTGGGAAAAGAATGGTGTGGGGTAGTTCTGGTGGGAGTGGTAGGGATGTCTAGATGTCGGGGGTAAGGTGTCTGAATAATAATAATAATAAAAATAATAATAATAATAATAATTCCGCTTTTCTGGGCACTCAAAGCGCTTTACACATAGGGGGGAATCTCCTCTTCCACCACCGGTGCGCAGCTTCCACCTGGATGATGCAACAGCAGCCATTTCGCACCAAACTGCACTTCACACACCAGCTGACAGGTGGAAAGGAGACAGAGTTATGAAGCCTAGTATTATATGGGGAGAGGTGGGGGGCCATGATAGACAGAGCACAGTGGGCAGAATTGGCCAGGATGCCGGGGTGAAACCCCTACTCTTTTCGAAGGACATCCTGGGATTTTTAATGACCAAGGAGTGGTCCTCAGTTTAAAGTCTTATCTGAAAGACGCCGATCTCTGAACATTAGAGTCCTTGTCACTATACAGGGGCATTAGAACCCACACAGACCGCAGGTTGGGTGCACCCTGCTGGCCTCACTAAAACCACTTCCGGCAGCAACCTAGCTTTCCCATGTGGTCTCCCATCTAGGTACTGACCGGGCGCAGCCCTGCTTAGCTTCAATGGGCAACCATGTGAGAGTTGCAGAGAGCAAGCTGCCAGCTAGAAAGCTAGCTGCCGGCTAAATAACACAGCTAAATAACACAGCTAAGTAACTGTACTATGCACCAGGTTTCAGGCAGCCACTGTGACCGGATACCATACAGTCGTCGATCTGAGGTTGTTATAGACTCTACCAAAATGCTGAGGACTGGAGGGGGTGGGAGTGAAATAACAGGAGTTTTCCTGGAAAAATAACAAAACGGGAGGGTGCCGGGAGATGGGTCTAAAATACGGAAGACTCCCGGGAAAAACTGGAGTGTTGGCAGGTATGGGAGCAACACACTTAAAATCTTAAGCAATGCTTGGTTGACAGACCTGTCAATAAACTAAGCTGATGTAGGAAGCTGATTGGTTGTAGGACGTCATCTTTTTGGAATGCATACTCCATATTTCCCTCAATACGATTTAATGCACTCCTATAGAAAAAAAAAAACAATGTACAGCATATATATAGATTTTCTTCTTATATTTTTTTCATTTTAAATTTAAATATGAGGTTTAAAAATGTATGCCTTACTTGAAGTTAGATGACTTGGGCTTTAAAGTTGGATTCTTAGGTTCGTTCACAAGAGTGTTCAGCTGTGAGAGAAAATCAAATTTGTTATGAAACTTGTTGGAATCCACTTACATGATACCAGAATATTTCAACAGGTTTATGTTAAATCCTTACTGCTTTGCTTATAGTATCCTCTACTTGCAGGTATGTGTTGTTTCTAAGCCCAGAGTCACTTGGCATGCTGAGTTGAGTTATATTAAATTTAAAGGTGACGGCATATGAGCTTTCTGAAATTTCTGATTTGGAAAGAAATTATTTTAGTTTGACATTGCATTGATTTTTATTTTCCTCACTTTCATTAAAAAAAACCTTCTTAGCAGAGACTGATGAGACTTACGCTCATATGTGAAATTCACCACCTTCACTGATTCATTGAGCTGTGACTGTCTGGATGTGAGAAGAGTGTCGACAGCAGTGAGGACCAGAGCTTTACTGGGGACTGGAGATGAGGAGTCGAACAACAGCCTGCTTGTGACCACCGCTGAACCAGATCTGCAAAGAGCACCACTTGTGATGAATATTGTTGAGGGTTATGGGTTTCAATTGTAACTTCATTAAGGAATATATGGTTTATTACAAAATGGGGGGAAATTACATTGGGATAGCAGGAGTCACAGTGGAACTGGCCATTGTAGTTGTTGGTACTGAAATTAAAAACAGAAAGAGAAATGTTAAGCACTGGTGACTTATATTGAATAAAACTAATTATTTAAATAACCACAAATCATAATTTCTTGACAAACCTGTCTGTGATCGTAGCTCATTTAGGAAGCTGACTGGTTGGATGACATCTTCATCCTGGAATGCGTATCCCATAACACCCTCAATCTGGTTAGATGTACTCCTACCAGAAAAACAGAAGACAGTATATCAAGACCTGAGCCTTAACTAAAAATAACATGAAGCATATGTTTTGAACAGCTTTAGTACACATAAATGCAAGAGGGCAAATTATACATTTTGAAGTCAGGATGTTCCTTACGTGAAGTTTGCTGATTTGGGTTGTAAAGGTGCACTGGTAGGTTCATTCAGAAGAGTATTCAGCTGCAGGAGAAAACCAGAACATTCATCAAATTGAAGAAGGTTTACGCTGGACTACAAATACTCTAATCATTACTAGAGAATGCTTACTGCAATATTGATGGTATCCTCGGCTTGTTTGTAGCTCTTGTTTTTCAGTACAGGGTCTTCAGGCATGCTGATTTTAGTCAGATTAATTGTAAAGATGATGGCATATGAGGTGTCTGAGAGTTCTGTTGGCAAAGAAAATCACAAACATATTTAAGTTAATGACTTACATCAATCAGTGCTTGAAACTTTTATAACCCAAAATATGCTTATTTAAGAGAATGAAACTTACTCTTATAGGTAGCATTAACAATTTTTACTGATTCATTGAGCCGTAACTCTCGGGATTTGAGAAGAGTGTCGACAGCAGTGAGGACCAGAGCTTCCCTGGGGACTGGAGATGAGGAGTTGAACAACAGCCTGCTTGTGACCACCGCTAATCCAGATCTGTAAAGAGCACCACTTGTGATGAATATTGTTGAGGGTTATGGGTTTGAAATGTAACTTCATACAAGATTGTATATTTAAAATTTACATTGGAACTGCAGGGGTGGAACTGGCAGTGGAAGTGGCCATTGTAGTCGTCGGTGCTAAAAATAAAAACAGAAAGAGAGATGTGAAGCACTTGTGACTTTAAATTATTATTTTTTATTTTAATAACCAAGAGTCATACATTTTGACAAACCTGTCTGTGATCGAAGTTCATTTAGGAAACTGACTGGCTGGATGACATCTTCCTCCTGGAAGGTGTATCCCATAATGCCCACAATCTGGTTAGATGTGCTCCTACAGGGAAAACGAAAAAATATTGTTTCATGTCTTCAGTCAATATTAACAATAACATGAAATAAGTAAATTTTTTTCAACAGCTTTAGTACACAAGACTGCACAAAAACCAATAAAAACATTTTGAAGTCAGGATGTTTCTCACGTGAAGTTTGCTGATTTGGGTTGTAAAGGTGCACTGGTAGGTTCATTCAGAAGAGTATTCAGCTAAAGGAGAAAACAAAACCATCATCAAAACTCTAGAGAAGATTTACACGGGACTCAAACCACTTCAATCATTATTAGAGAACGCTTACTGCATTATTGATGCTATCCTCCACTTGTTTGTAGCTCTTGATTTTCAGTACAGGGTCTTCAGGCATCCTGATATTGGTCAAATTTATTGTAAAGATGATGCCATATGAGGTGTCTGAGAGTTCTGATGGTAAAGAAACAATCAATTAATTAAGTTAAATCTTACATTAATCAGTGCTTGAAGTGTTCATAATGCAAAATATGAAACTTACTCTCGTAGGTGACATTCACAATTTTCACTGATTGATTGAGCTGTGGTGTTCTTGAGTTAAGAAGAGTGTCGACAGCAGTGAGGACCAGAGCTTCACTGGGGACTGGAGATGAGGAGTTGAACAACAGCCTGCTTGTGACCACCGCTAATCCAGATCTGTAAAGAGCACCACTTGTGATGAATATTGTTGAGGGTTATGGGTTTGAAATGTAACTTTATTCATTATTATCTAACAAAGCCTTACATTGGGATTGCTGAAGTCATGGTAGTACTGGCCGGTGTAGTTGTCACTACTAAAATCAGAAATAGAAATGTTCAGTGCTGGTGATGTACATTAACGAAAAAAATCGATTAAAAATGTTAAATGACCACAAGTCAAAAAGGTTAACAAACCTGTCAGTAAACGAAGTTCATTTAGGAAGCTGACTGGCTGGATGACATCTTGATCCTGGAAGGTGTATCCCATAATGCCCACAATCTGGTTAGATGTGCTCCTTAAGTTAAAACAAGACATTCTTTTAAGACTTCAGTCCACAATAAAAGTAACATGAAAATGAGAACATTCTTAATGTATTTATTCCTTTATCTGTTGGGCTGCTTTAAAATCCAAAACTGTACAAAGACTACTAAAAGGTTGTGAAGTCAGGATGTTCCTTACGTGAAGTTTGCTGATTTGGGTTGTAAAGGTGCACTGGTAGGTTCATTCAGAAGAGTATTCAGCTAAAGGAGAAAACAAAGCCAGTTGTTAAACTCTGGACAAGATCCTTTTTACAAAGATTTTTTCTTCTTCTTAGCTTTGAATCAATGGTGCTTAACATTTCTATTTTTATTTTTGGACTCAAACTGCTTAATTTGTTAATGGAGAATGCTTACTGCATTGTTGACATTACTCTCCACTTGGTTGTAGCTCTTGTTTTTTAGTACAGGGTCTTCGGGAATGCTGATATTGGGCAGATCGAATGTAAAGACGATGGCATATGAGGTGTCTGAGAGTTCTGTTGGCAAAGAAACAATCAATTATTTCAGTTAATACCTACATTAATCAGTGCTTGAAGTGTTCATAATGCAAAATATGAAACTTACTCTCGTAGGTGACATTCACAATTTTCACTGATTGATTGAGCTGTGGTGTTCTTGAGTTAAGAAGATTGTCGACAGCAGTGAGGACCAGAGCTTCACTGGGGACTGGAGATGAGGAGTTGAACAACAGCCTGCTTGTGACCACCGCTAATCCAGATCTGTAAAGAGCACCACTTGTGATGAATATTGTTGAGGGTTATGGGTTTGAAATGTAACTTTATTCATTAATATTTAACAAAGCCTTACATTGGGATTGCTGAAGTCACCGTAGTACTGGCTGGTGTAGTTGTCACTACTAAAATCAGAAATAGAAATGTTTAGCACTGGTGATGTACAGTAACGAAAAAAACCTATTAAAAATGTTAAATGATCACAAGTCAAAAAGGTTAACAAACCTGTCAGTAAACGAAGTTCATTTAGGAAGCTGACTGGTTGGATAACATCTTCCTCCTTGAAAGCGTATCCCATAATGCCTTCAATCTGGTTGGATGTGCTCCTGTAGTCAAAAAAACAGAAGACATTTTTCAAGACTACATTGAAAATCGCAAAAATGAGTACATTATAAATGTATTTATTCCTTTATCTGTTGGGCTGCTTTAAAATCCAAAAATGAACAAAGACTACTAAAAGGTTGTGAAGTCAGGATGTTCCTTACGTGAAGTTTGCTGATTTGGGTTGTAAAGGTGCACTAGTAGGTTCATTCAGAAGAGTATTCAGCTAAAGGAGAAAACCAAACCATTTCTTAACCTGGAGAAGGTTTACATTGGACTGAAACCACTTTATTCATTAACACAGAACGCTTACTGCATTATTGACGCTATCCTCTACTTGTTTGTAGCTCTTGATTTTCAGTACAGGGTCTTCAGGGATACTGATATCGGTCAAATTTAATGTAAAGATGATGGCATATGAGGTGTCTGAGAGTTCTGTTGGCAAAGAAACCACCAGTCATTTCCATTAATACCTTAAATTAACCAGTACTTGAAACTTTTATGAGACAAAATATGTTTAAGTAAGAAAATTAAGCTTACTCTCATAGGTGATGTTCACAATTTTCGCTGATTGATTGAGCTGTGGTATTCTTGAGTTAAGAAGAGTGTTGACAGCAGTGAGGACCAGAGCTTCACCGGGGACTAGAGATGAGGAGTTGAACAACAGCCTGCTTGTGACCACCGCTAATCCAGATCTGTAAAGAGCACCACTTGTGATGAATATTGTTAAGGGTTACAATTTTGAAAGTTAACTTCATAAAGGAATTCATACTAAAAAATTACATTGGAATTGCAGGAGTGTCAGTGAAGCTGGCCATTGTAGTCGTTGTTGCTAAAATTAAAAACAGAAAGAGAAATTTTAAGCAATCATGAATTTAAATTATTATTTTTATTTAAATTACCAGAAGTCATGAATTTTGACAAACCTATCTGTGAGCGAAGTTCATTTAGGAAGCTGACTGGTTGGATGACATCTTCCTCCTGGAAGGTGTATCCCATAATGCCTTCAATCTGGTTAGATGTGCTCCTTTAGTTAAAACAAGACATTCTTTTAAGACTTCAGTCCACAATAAAAGTAACATGAAAATGAGAACATTCTTAATGTATTTATTCCTTTATCTGTTGGGCTGCTTTAAAATCCAAAAATGCACAAAGACTACTAAAAGGTTGTGAAGTCAGGATGTTCCTTACGTGAAGTTTGCTGATTTGGGTTGTAAAGGTGCACTGGTAGGTTCATTCAGAAGAGTATTCAGCTAAAGAAGAAAACAAAGCCAGTTGTTAAACTCTGGACAAGATCCTATTTACAAAGATTTTTTTCTTCTTCGCCTTGAATCAATGGTGCTTAACATTTCTATTTTTATTTTTGGACTCAAACTGCTTAATTTGTTATGGAGAATGCTTACTGCATTGTTGACATTACTCTCCACTTGATTGTAGCTCTTGTTTTTGAGTACAGGGTCTTCGGGAATGCTGATATTGGGCAGATCGAATGTAAAGACGATGACATATGAGGTGTCTGAGAGTTCTGTTGGCAACGAAACAATCAATTATTTCAGTTAATACCTACATTAATCAGTGCTTGAAGTGTTCATAATGCAAAATATGAAACTTACTCTCGTAGGTGACATTCACAATTTTCACTGATTGATTGAGCTGTGGTATTCTTGAGTTAAGAAGAGTGTCGACAGCAGTGAGGACCAGAGCTTCACTGGGGACTGGAGATGAGGAGTTGAACAACAGCCTGCTTGTGACCACCGCTAATCCAGATCTGTAAAGAGCACCACTTGTGATGAATATTGTTGAGGGTTATGGGTTTGAAATGTAACTTTATTCATTATTATCTAACAAAGCCTTACATTGGGATTGCTGAAGTCACCGTAGTACTGGCTGGTGTAGTTGTCACTACTAAAATCAGAAATAGAAATGTTCAGTGCTAGTGATGTACAGTAATGAAAAAAATCGATTAAAAATGTTAAATGACCACAAGTCAAAAAGGTTAACAAACCTGTCAGTAAACGAAGTTCATTTAGGAAGCTGACTGGCTGGATGACATCTTCCTCCTGGAAGGTGTATCCCATAATGCCTTCAATCTGGTTGGATGTGCTCCTACAAGAAACACAGAAAATATTTTTTCAAGACTTCAGTCTACATTAATAATAAGATGAAAATGAGTAATTTAAGAATATATATTCTATTTATTTCATTCTTTTTTACACAGCTTTAGTACACGACATTAAACATTTTGAAGTCAGGATGTTCCTTACGTGAAGTTTGCTGATTTGGGTTGTAAAGGTGCACTGGTAGGTTCATTCAGAAGAGTATTCAGCTAAAGGAGAAACCAGACCATTCATTAAAACTGTAGAGAAAATTTACATGGGACTCAAACCACTTTAGTTAATAATAGAGAACACTTACTGCATTATTTATGCTATCCTCCACTTGTTTGTAGTTATTGTTGTTCAGTACACGGTCTTTACGCATGCTTATAATTGTCAGATTAATTATAAAGATAATGGCATATGAGGTGTCTGAAAGTTCTGTTGGCAAAAAAACACAGTCATTTTCATAAATGTCTTGAAAATGGCATGCAACTTCTGAAACTTTGTGCTTGAAACTTCTACTTTACAAAATATGCTTAATAAGGAAAATGAGACTTACTCTCATATGTAATATTGACAATTTTCACTGATGGATCGAGCTGTGACTCTCTGGAGTTGAGAAGTGTGTTGACAGCACTTAGGACCAGAGCTTCACTGGGGACTGGAGATGAGGAGTTGAACAACAGCCTGCTTGTGATCACTGCTGGACCAGATCTGTAAAGAGCACCACTTGTAATAAATATTGTTGAAATTTAACTTAAAGGAATACATATTACAAACTTGAAAAAAAATTACATTGCAATTGCAGGAGTCACCGTGGAACTGGCTGTTGTAGTCGTCCATGCTAAAATTAAAATCAGGAAGCAGAATCTTAAGCACTTGTAACTAATAAGGAAGACTTTTTTATGTACATTTCCAAAAATCTATTTTTTGACAAACCTTTCTGTAAACGAAGTTCATTTAGGAAGCTGACTGGTTGGATGACATCTTCATCCAGGAATGTGTATCCCATAATGCCCTCAATCTGGTTAGATGTGCTCCTGCCAATAACAACAATGAAAAAAATTTAAGATATTTTATTCAAGACTTGAGACTATTTTAAAAATCTTTAAATTTTTGTCATTTAGTTTTTTTATTTATCTTTTGGACAGCTTTAGTACACAAGAATGCACAAAGACAAATTAAACATTTTGAAGTCAGGATGTTCCTTACGTGAAGTTTGCTGATTTGGGTTGTAAAGGTGCACTAGTAGGTTCATTCAGAAGAGTATTCAGCTGCAGGCGAAAAAGAAAACCATTCATCAAACTCTTGAGAAGACTTACATTGGACTCAAACCTTTTTATTAATATAAATTACTTACTGCATTATTGACATTACTTTCCACTTGATTGTAGCTCTTGTTTTTGAGTACAGGGTCTTCAGGAATGCTGATATTTGTCAGATCAAATATAAAGATGATGGCATATGAGGTGTCTGAGAGTTCTGTTGGCAAAGAAACATCCAATTATTTCAGCTTAACCATTTTCTAATGTACAGTATGTGTAATTAAGCTAATAAAACTTACCCTCGAAGGTGACATTGACAATTTCCACTGATTTATCAAGCCACAACTGTCTGGATGTGAGAAGAGCGTTGACAGCATTCAGGACCTGAGCTTCACTGGGGACTGGAGATGAAGAGTTGAATAACAGTCTGCTTGTGACCACAGCTGTTGTTTGGTTTGTTCTTTGGGTAGAATCAGTTGTTGACACTGGCAATGATATAGTGGTCTCTTGTGTAACAATTATGACCGTCGGTTCAGGGCTTGTTATTGACATTGTTGGCTTTTGAGTGTCTGTAATTTGAATTGAAGTCACTGCATTTGTAGTTTCATTTTGCAAAGATGTGGCTGCTAGAAAGGATGTCGTAATTTCTGAGAACATTGGCATAGTTGTAGGAGTGACAAATGTTGTTGCTGTGCCAGTTTTAGTTGTTGTCTTGTAAACTGGTGTATTGGTGGGATACATATTTGTTGTGTTTAAGGATACTAGTGAAGTTGAATATATTGAAGCTTCATTTGTTGCTGTAATCTCAGATGGTATTAGAGTAGGGATGGAGGTCACAGATGTTGTGCTATAACCTTCACTGGTGGAAGATGCAGTAGGAGCAGCATTTGAGGAGGTTGAAGGTGCAGGTTCTGAGGATGAAGACTTGGAAGTAGGAGTTACATCTGTTGTTACTGAAACCTCATTTGTTGTTGATAATGGAGTTGTTTTATCAGGATTTTCTGTTGCTGGAGGTGCAGCTGTAAATGATGCAGGAATTGTATTGGGGTTTACATCTGTGGTTTCGAAAGGCACAGTAGTTGACAAAACTGTTGTTGGAGTAACATTTATTGTTGTAGTTTCTGAGGATATATGAGTGGTTACAGGAGTCACAACAGCGGCCACTGAAGTTTCAGTTGTTGAAGGTAGTATTGTGGCACCAGCACTTTCTGTGGCTTGAGGTGCAGTTGTGGATCCTGAGAATAAAGGTGTGGTATTAGGCTCCACATATGATGTTGTGAAAGCTTCAGTTGCTGAAGATGCTGTTGTTGTAGTAGCACTAACTGTTGTTGTAGCTTCTGAGGATATAGGAGCGGTTGTGGAAGATACAACTGTGTCTGTTGAAGTTTCAGTTGTTGAAGATGGTGTTGTTGTAGAAGTAGCACTGACTGTTGAAGCTTCTGAGGATATGAGAGTGGTTGTGGGTGTCACAAATGTGGTTTCTGCAGTTTCAGATGTTGAAGACAGTGCTGTTGCTGGAGTAGCATCTGTTGATGTAGTTTCTGTGGGTATAAAAGTGACTGTGGAAGATACAACTGTAGATGTTGATGCTTCAGTTGTTGAAGATGGGATTGTGGCACCAGCACTTTCTGTGACTTGAGGTGCAGTTGTGGATCCTGAGAATAAAGCTGTGGTATTAGGCTCCACATATGATGTTGTGAAAGCTTCAGTTGCTGAAGATGCTGTTGTTGTAGTAGCACTAACTGTTGTTGTGGCTTCTGAGGATATAGGAGCGGTTGTGGAAGATACAACTGTGTCTGTTGAAGTTTCAGTTGTTGAAGATGGTGTTGTTGTAGAAGTAGCACTGACTATTGAGGCTTCTGAGGATATGAGAGTGGTTGTGGGAGTCACAAATGTGGTTTCTGGAGTTTCAGATGTTGAAGACAGTGCTGTTGCTGGAATAGCATATGTTGATGTAGTTTCTGTGGGTATAAAAGTGACTGTGGAAGATACAACTGTAGATGTTGAAGTTTCAGTTGTTGAAGATGGTGTTGTTGTAGAAGTAGCACTGACTGTTGAAGCTTCTGAGGATATGAGAGTGGTTGTGGATGTTACAAATGTGGTTTCTGAAGTTTCAGATGTTGAAGACAGTGCTGTTGCTGGAGTAGCATTAACTGATGTAGTTTCTGTGGGTATAAAAGTGACTGTGGAAGATACAACTGTGTCTGTTGAAGTTTCAGTTGTTGAAGATGGTGTTGTTGTAGAAGTAGCACTGACTGTTGAAGCTTCTGAGGATATGAGAGTGGTTGTGGATGTTACAAATGTGGTTTCTGAAGTTTCAGATGTTGAAGACAGTGCTGTTGCTGGAGTAGCATCTGTTGATGTAGTTTCTGTGGGTATAAAAGTGACTGTGGAAGATACAACTGTAGATGTTGAAGTTTCAGTTGTTGAAGATGGTGTTGTTGTAGAAGTAGCACTGACTGTTGAAGCTTCTGAGGATATGAGAGTGGTTGTGGGAGTCACAAATGTGGTTTCTGCAGTTTCAGATGTGGAAGATAGTGTAGTTGCTGAAGTAGCATCTGTTAATGTAGTTTCTGTGGTTATAAAAGTGACTGTGGAAGATACAGCTGTAGGTGTTAAAGTTTCAGTTGTTGAAGGTGGGATTGTGGCACTAGTACTCTCTGTGGCTTGAGGTGCAGTTGTGGATTCTGGGAATTTAGGTGTTGTATTAGGCTCCGCATATGATGTTGTGAAAGCTTCAGTTGCTGAAGATGCTGTTGTTGTAGTAGCACTAACTGTTGTTGTGGCTTCTGAGGATATAGGAGCGGTTGTGGAAGATACAACTGTGTCTGTTGAAGTTTCAGTTGTTGAAGATGGGATTGTGGCACCAGCACTTTCTGTGGCTTGAGGTGCAGTTGTGGATTCTGGGAATTTAGGTGTTGTATTAGGCTCCACATATGATGTTGTGAAAGCTTCAGTTGCTGAAGATGCTGTTGTTGTAGTAGCACTAACTGTTGTAGCTTTTGAGGATATAGGAGCGGTTGTGGAAGATACAACTGTGTCTGTTGAAGTTTCAGTTGTTGAAGATGGGATTGTGGCACCAGCACTTTCTGTGACTTGAGGTGCAGTTGTGGATTCTGGGAATGTAGGTGTGGTATTAGGCTCCGCATATGATGTTGTGAAAGCTTCAGTTGCTGAAGATGCTGTTGTTGTAGTAGCACTAACTGTTGTTGCAGCTTCTGAGGATATAGGAGCGTTTGTGGAAGATCCAACTGTGTCTGTTAAAGTTTCAGTTGGTAAAGATGGTGGTGTTGTTGTAGAAGTAGCACTGACTGTTGAAGCTTCTGAGGATATGAGAGTGGTTGTGGGAGTCACAAATGTGGTTTCTGCAGTTTCAGATGTGGAAGATAGTGTAGTTGCTGAAGTAGCATCTGTTAATGTAGTTTCTGTGGTTATAAAAGTGACTGTGGAAGATACAGCTGTAGGTGTTAAAGTTTCAGTTGTTGAAGGTGGGATTGTGGCACTAGTACTCTCTGTGGCTTGAGGTGCAGTTGTGGATTCTGGGAATGTAGGTGTGGTATTAGGCTCCACATATGATGTTGTGAAAGCTTCAGTTGCTGAAGATGCTGTTGTTGTAGTAGCACTAACTGTTGTTGCAGCTTCTGAGGATATAGGAGCGTTTGTGGAAGATCCAACTGTGTCTGTTAAAGTTTCAGTTGGTAAAGATGGTGTTGTTGTTGTAGAAGTAGCACTGACTGTTGTAGCTTCTGATGATATAAGAATGATTGTGGGAGTCACAGTTGTGGTTTCTGCAGTTTCAGATGTTGAAGATAGTGTTGTTGTTGTAGTTTCTGATGGTATAAGAGTGGTTGTGAGGTTCACATCTACAGTTGTTGATGTTTCTGTTGTCAAAGATTCTGTTAATGTTGAAGTAAGATTTGTTGTTGAAGCAGCATCTGTCGCTGTTGGAGGTGCCGTTGTAGCTGATAAGGATCCGAGTATAGACGTGGGAATCATATCTGTTGTTGTTATAATTACAGATTCTGTTGTAATCAAAGGTAACATTGTAGACATTGAATTTGGACCTGTTGTAGGAAGTGTAGGTGTGAAAGTCACAGCTGTACATTTGGGATTTTGTTTAGTGGTCATAGGTGTGCCAATAGATCCTTTAGTTTTTATTGTACAAACATCATTGGCTGTTTGTAAAATCTGTGTGGTTGGTGCATCAGTAGTTAAAGATGAAGCTCCACATAGGGTACACCATACATATACTGTCAAGAAATAACAAACATATTTCATAATTTTCGTTTAACCTCCTAAAATGTCATTTAGACTCTTCTTTTTATTTGCATTTATAAACAATTTTTGATGATGATTTTTGACTATATCATCTCACCATCCCCCCACTCCTTCCCCCAATCTCTTATGAATTGTATTCAGATTTATCATAAACATACGTACATATGGTGAAGAAAACTGTCCATCTGACATCATATTTTGGAATGAAACACCACCTAAAATAGAAGACAGATCATTATGTTTATGTTTCTACTCATCTAAGAATGATCATTCTTTGCCATTTAAAAGTGTCCAGAGAAACTAACATGTTTTCTTGCTTATTTTTATTTTTTTAGAATAACTATGTTTGGATGTATCTACAGAGTAGTATTCAAGATCTTTGCGTTGCTTGTGTTATGCTTCCCAAATTATACATTTGATGTGAGTATACTTTTTTGGGTCCATTTTGCACTTTTTATTAACTATAATTTACAATGTAAGTGAATAGCTACTATTTGCTGACACAGATCCAGTAGCAGATTTTCTCCTGAATATAAGAATGAGATATGAGATAAGGGGGGGGGGGTTGTATGTGGAGCCAAGTCCATGAAGGGAAACAGGACAAGGGTAATGGGGCAGGAATAGTAATAGGAAGGACTGACAGGGCTAGAGGCCAAGACAAAGCCAATGAGGAAGCAAACTAGGGCGGAACTGGTGGAATGTGAGAGACGGCATAATAAATCAGCCAGGGTGGAGCAGACAGTTCAGAAGAGCAGGGAGGAACACAGGGCAAGAGTGGAGTCATTGGCATAAGAGAGAACAGGCAGGTACAAAGGGCCGAGGTGGAGCAATCAAAACAAGAAGCCTGATGAGTGGAGCCCATCACGGTAGAGCAGATGGTGCCATCAACCAACTGGCACAGGTTTAGAAGAGCTTTTGAGTAAGGGCTCAGTGGCAACAGTGCTTGAGAGCATGGTCTAGCTGTGATGCTAGTACACTAACTGTGCACTGCAGTCTGGTATGTGGTGGAAGAGCAGTTTTGGGTATGGCTGGAATAATGGCAGGAGATCAGTCAGGATTCAGGAATGGTGGCTAACTTGCAATGAGAGAATAAGCATGCAGCCATTTTGAAATGAGATTTTGTTATGGCAGCCATGATGGGATGAGACCTTGGAATGATGGTCATCTTGTCGGGAGTCTCTGAAATGAAAGCCATCTTGAGGAGTCACTAAGGTGCAGCCATATTGGATGGTGATATTACAGCAGTGGCCATCTTTTTGAGTGACTATAGAGTGGCCATCTTAGATTCTGACAGTGGGCTAGCAGCTATCTTGGGTGCTGACTACCCTACTTGGCAGGTGAATACTCTGGACCGTTTTCTTGAGTAAGTGTGTAGCAGCTATCTTAGATTCTGACACTGGGCTAGAAGCCATCTTGGTTGCTGACACTTGGCTGGTGACTACCCTGGGCCGTCTTGTTGTGTGACTGTGAAGCAGCTATCTTGGATTCTGACACTAGGCTAGCAGTCATCTTGGGTGCTGAACTGGCAGTAACCTTGAGTATTGATGCTGGGTTGTTTGCCAAGGAGCAGGAGACTGGAGGACGGGTGTGGCAATCATTTAGGATGTTGTGGTCTTGTAAGTAAGTCCTCTGGCCTTCAAAACCCACTACAGTCCTCGCTAAAATAATATTTGAGAAAATTCTTCTGCCACCATGCCAACAGTAATGAATGACACACTAATTAGAAGAGCAAAGTCCATAATTGCATAATACATTTTGAGCGCCATAACAGATTAGGATTGTTTTAGTGGTGCCTTTAATCCGTGGCAGAAGAAATCAATCAGTGTAGAGTCAAGAAAGTGATGTGAAACATTTCAAAACACAATAATGTAGTTTCTGAGGCTTCTTAAACACTGACACAGGTGAACAAAGCAAACAACTGGATCCATGTTTCAAAAGTGAGAGGTGGATCTACAAGCAGTTACAAATTTAATTAAGTAATCCACTAAACAAGAAATAACACACAGCGATACTGGAGAACCAGAAAAAAACACATACCAACACATTCAACACTGACTGAACCAGAAGGGCTTTTTATGCACCAGAATATAACAAGAGAACAAAATAACAGGGGCTAGAGACAGTAAATGGGGTAACTAACAAGGGTAACCATGGACATTAAAGAGGGTGTGGCACAAAGATCACAATTGCTTTACATAGGGAGCAAAAGCGTAAGCACAAGGGAGCAAAACAAGAGTCACAGGAAACAGAGAAACACTGGGACTGTAAAACAGTAAGGTTCCATTAGTTAATGTTATTTAATAATATTAAAATAAAATGAACAATACTTTTACAGCATTTTTAAATATAGTAAATGTTCATTTCAGCATTTACTAAAGCGTTATTTAACTCCCAATTTGTGCTTGTTAAAGTTGCACTGTTGCAGGGGTGCCGCTAGAGAAGGGAAGTTAGGACTATGCTAAGGGCCCACACCATTTTGAGACTCCCAGAGACATTATTAGGGGCCAATCCAGCCCCAACCCACCCATACCACCCCCCACCCATCCCTTCCCCCCACATACCGCCTCACCCCCCTTCCTGCGTTCAACTTTCATCCATGCCACCACATCAACTTCGTTCTTTACTCTCGTCCGTGACCACCCACCCCTCCTCCCCTCTCCGCTTTAGTCTGATACGCCACCCTGCTCCGCTTTTCACTTCCATCCCAAACCCCAAACACCCTCCACCCCCTGCATTATTTTTGTCTGCGACGACCGCCCAACCCTTCTTCACTTTTGTCCGTGACAACAAATAACTGTTTACACATGGCTCACACCAATCGGCACCCCAGCACTGTGAATGACGATTAATAAATATTACAATGAATGTATTGTTCATTGTTTGTTCATGTTAGATACTACATTAACTAACATTAACAATAAAAGGAACCTTAATGTAAAGTGTTATCTTTTTTGTGCACTGTCACATTACAAAAAAAATAAAAATTTATAATAATCACTCACACACATAAAGGTTTCTCTGTAAATACATAAAAAACAAACTCTGATATCCGTATACCAGCAAACCCACAAATTTCAAAATAAATTGGCCACACCTCAGCAAGTTCTTGAACTGGACAAATTACAATTGGAATTGGGAAATGCTTTTGTCAAGCTACTATTTAAAAACTTTTACACTTTAACAAATCAGTTAATCAACAGTTTATTCGTTTATGACTTAAGAATGCTTTTTTGTGTATATACTTATATACTTTTTTGTACAGTTTTAGTGGTTTAAATTAATAGATGACTAGGTTTGTCATGTTATTTAGGAAACAAAAACAGGGTAATAAGCCGCTTGTACTTTTTAATGTTAGTTTACTTATTTACTTCATTATACATATAATTTATTATACAATTCACAATATGAATAAATCCCTTTGTAGTTCAGTAAAATTGTCAATCTGAGTAAAGATCTTATATCATAAAATCTGTCTGTCTGTGAGGCAATTTACAATTTTATTTGTTCATTAAACCTAAAAATTACATTTTAAAACACTTTAAGAACTTCCAAGTTTGACTTGTAATGCCAGCAACAAAAAATCACTTTTAATATTAATTTTAATTAAGTTTATTCCTGCTTCCTTACATGAACCTTAGCTGAATATAATTTTAAATACAATAAATAATTTGCTATTTAAAATGTATAGTTAGTTCAATTCCAAATATGGCGCAACCTTGCTTTTAGGTGTTTGTAAAGCTGATACAAAATAACAACAAATCAAACAAGCAGATGGAGAGAATTATTTAAACATCACATATAAATGTCACATATATTTATTAAAGTATTATAATAAGTTAAATAATGTCAATCTTTCGCCTACCTCCTTCTGCTGTTCAAAGTCATAACAATGTTTACCAAATGGTACTGCAGTTCTCTACGTGTTTTGTCTTAGTTCAAAAGTAAAAGACTGAAAAGATCATTTTTGAGTGATACTATATCAACTGCAGGTTGACGTTTGTTGGGTGTGGTTAAAAAGTGTAGTTTGGCAACCGAACCCTTTCTGTACGCAATACAGAAGAACATACTGATGGTATTATTATTTCCAATCCACAATGAAGGGTGTAAATACAATGCTGAATACTGCTAAGTTGAATGACAGGAATTCATTTATGTCATGGTGATAAAAGGTGTTTTGGTGACTATTAACACATCTAGTCTGATTCAAGATAAAAATAAGTGACATGAATAAATATAAGGTAAAATATAAGTAAAATAAGGCCTCTGTGCAATAGAGGAACAAAAAACAAGAATAAATAACATTATATTGATTACACATGACAAAACAAGCAGTAAACTTGAATTATTGTTAATTTGTTATCATTTTGGCCAGGGTGGGAGAAAAGGTAATTACATGCATCCAAATACTATTTTAGTTGCTTGATGGTATGAGGGATTTGACAGTGAACTTATCTTTGAAAACATGACTGTCATGAGTTGTTACTAAAATGGCAGGGTGTATACAATGGCCCCTCATAACAGGGGTTATAATATAACCCCTCTTCACAGCTCACCTCCATTGCAATGATCTCTCTGCCACAAATATCATCCTGAGATTTCAAAATGTGAATGTTGAGGGAAGATGAAATGATTATCATCAAACATAAATTAAATCATTATGTCAAACATTGTCCCCTCCAACCCCCCTTTATATCACATTTAAATTAAATAAATTAATCAATAATGGTGAGCACAGTATCTGCGGATGTTAATAAAAATCAATAAAGCTGCAGCAAAACTACATACTAAAATGCTATGAAGAGTATATTTATATAAATGAGTTATATTTATAATAACAGATTTAGGGTGTGTGAGAGTCAGTGTTACTGGTTATGGGCGTGTCTAGGAATGTTCAAAGCACACAATACTTCACTCAAATTTACGTAGACAAATCTTTATAGGGAGGTGGTAATTCAGAATGAACAATCACTGTATAATCTTTATTTAGTCTAAAGGCTTTTCCAAAAATCCACACCGATATCTCACCTGACTTGTAAGCCAACTTCTATAACTTAATCCCCTGAAATAATTACCAATAATTAGTTTTCTGTGATTTTAATTACATCCTATTTGGAAATATCAGTATGATAACTATTTAAACTGCTGTTCAAATGCCAATAAAACGCGCAGCGTTGTAACAGCATATTTACGGAAGCAAAAGCCAGTGAATCTGATAAATGCATCTTGACAGAACTTTTATTACAGACATGCTTTTTTGTTTAATATGTGTTCATCTTTGATGAATTAGTATAACATTATAGAAAAGTAAAGGAAAAAAGCTAATGTGTACCCTAGCAAACAAAAATATCTAAATGTTTACTTTATATAGTCCTAAATTGGTTTAGCTCTGTTTTACTGCCATTATTTGTGCACATGTCTATAGTATTTATTATAATCATTTATAATGAAGATTTGTTCTAGTGTTGGCATAGTATCCATGCTTAATTATTAAAAATGGGTCTTGTTCTTCTTCTTCTTGTTGTTCTTATTATTATCTGTGCTAAATAACTTGCAGTTGAAGTAAGAATTATTAGCCCCTTTGATTTTTTTTCTTTTTTTAATATTTCCCAAATAATGTTTAACAGAGCTAGGAAATTTTCACAGTATGTCTGATAATATTATTTCTTCTGGAGAAAGTCTTATTTGTTTTATTTCAGCTACAATAAAAGAAGTCTTTAATTTAACACTATTTTAAGGAACAAAACTATAAGCTTCTTTAAGGTATATATATATTTATTAATCTACAGAACAAACCATCATACAATAACTTGCCTAATTACCCTAACCTGCCTAGTTAACCTAATTAACCTAGTTAAGCCTTAAGATGTCACTTTAAGCTGTATAGAAGTGTCTTGAAAAATATCTAGTCAAAAAAATAAAAAATAAACAGAGGGTTAGTAATTCAGGAGGGCTAACAATTCTGAATTCAACAGTATTTCTACTTTAGGTTTTCATGGAAACCTTTTACTTACCGATCTTAGTTGATAAATAGAAAATAAATGCATTTATTAGAAATATTTTTGTTTAATTTAATATTTAGTGTCAATTTTAGTTAATTTACATTCATTCATTTATTTTATTTTCAGCTTAGTCCCTTTATTAATCTGGGGTCGCCACAGCAGAATGAACCACCAACTTATCCAGCATTTATTTTACACAGCGGATGCCCTTCCAGCTGCAACCCATCACTGGGAAACATCCATACACACTCATTCACACTCATACACTACGGACAATTTGGCTTACCCAATTCACCTATACCACATGTCTTTGGACTTGTGGGGGAAACCAGGAGGAAACTCACGTGAGCATGCAAAGTCCACATAGAAATGCCAGCTTAGCTGACCCAGCCAAGGCTTGAACCAGCGACCGTTTTGCTGCGAGGAGATCTTGCTACCCACTGCACCACCGTTACACCTAATTAATTTACAATGTAGGCTATATAATGCATAAACATTCAAATCTATGTATTTATTTATTGTACGTTTAAATGGTAAATAAAATCAGTTTTTTAAAAAAGCAGTGCAACTGTTTTCAAACCAGCATATTTCAATGAAATTTTGGGAAATGAACATTGAGATTTTAATCACAGAAGTTATTCATATTTTAAAGCATATTCAATTATTCAAACTGTATCAGTTTAACTGTTGTAATGCAACATAAAAAAATCATTTGAAATAATTAGAGTCCTTGTCAATGATATTAAATGATATTAACTTAAGTCATTATTGCTTAGCTCAGCCTTGAGAGAATGTAGGCTGCACCAAGTATAAGGGAGGATCCTTCATTTTTGAAAAACATACTTTAATGAAGAATAAATAAACCAGTCTGACCAGCTTTCTTGGGCTGCAGTTCAATGATAATACAGTGAGACAGAGGTCAAGAATTGGCAAAGGATTATATTGTGATGAGATTCAACATTTGATATACAGATAGAAAATTTCAGCTCAAAAATGTGACTTATAAAAAGAAAATTAATTAACACTGTCATGTGTTGGTAAATATTTTTTTATAACGATAGCTTTATAATAAAAAAAAATAATAAAATAAATTCTGATGGTTCCGTTTAAATAATTTGAGTAATTTGGCACATATGCCTACTCTAGCTCCATCAGTTAACGGTAGACAAATGTGCCATCAGTATGAAGACTTTTACATGTAGGCTGGCATACAGTAAGCCAATTTTATAGTCATATCGTAATCATTTTATAATATTAACAAAATGTAGCCTAATTAAGTGACTGTTGTACTCTGATTAGTAGGCCAACTCATAATGATAACAAACATTGGCATTGAAACATTTTGAGCCATTAAGCGTATGAATGTAAAAAGATCTACATTGAAGCATCAATGCAATCAGGAACCGTAATTTTTAAGAGTTATTTTTTTTTGTTGTATTAATCAGGTATTAAAAGAAAACAGTTTCTGGCTACATGTTAAAGTCCATTTTATTCAACTTCTACTTTCATTTATATTATTTTCACAGTTAGTGTCAAGTTGCAGGATGTTTTGTCAATCAAGTACAACAGCTGGGGTGTACTCGCTGAAAATTACGTCAATCACTACCAATTATCTGAGGAGAATCTAGACAAACTTCATTCTTTAAGCTGTGGGGGTGAGGAAAAGCATCCTCTGTTTCCACTATACTGCTAACTCTATTAAGATTTTAAATCTGATATTTGCAACTAGTTTTTCCCCTTCAGGGCACCCATGAGCTATTTATGCGCGTCACTCATTCACAAATGACATGTATGTACAGTCATGTGAAAAAAATAGAGCACCTGATGAAAGCCTGGGTATTTTGTAAGGTTTTTTAAATATATGGTTATTTAATCTCAATTTTAACAATGCAGAAAGATGAAGGTAGATTAACTAAACAATTAAAACTGAAAGAGGACTTTTTAAGATCTTCTGTAAATGTATTTCTACCAAACTGCATATTCTAACTGGGGAAAAAATTAAGACGCCCTACCCCCTAGCTAGTGTTACGCCCTTTGGCTGAAAAAACTACAGAGAGACATTTCTTGTAGACATCTAACAGTCTTTAAAATCAGTCTGAGGAAGGTGTAGCCCTCTCTTCAATACAGAATCATTTCAGCTGTGAGATGTTTGAGGTGTTTTTTTTTTTTTGTATGTACAGCTCGTTTCAAGTCACCTTACAGCATCTCAATGAGATTACGATCTGGGCTTTGACTTGGCCATTCCAGGACTCTCAATTTCTTAGTTTTCAGCCAGTACTTCGTTGATTTACTGTTATGCTATGTTATGGGTCATTGTTGCATTGCATGCTCCAGTTTCGTTTAAGGTTTAATTTTTGGACACATATCTCACATGTTCCTCAAGCACCTTTTGATACACCATAGAATTCATGGTGGATTATGATGGTGAGCTGACCAGATCCTGCTGCAGCAAAGCAACCCAAAATCATGACACTTCCACCTATGTGCTTTACAGTTGGTATGAGGTTCTTTACCTTGAATGCTGTCTTTGGTTTACGCCAAACATGTTATCTGTTCTGGTTTTCAAAAAATTCTATTTCAAATTCCAATATTCCATAAGTCCTGGTCTTTGTCAATACTCTCTCTGGCCTTGATGGATTCCTCCTTGCACACCTCTCATGCAAGTTAAACTTGAGCATTGTCTTTCTGATTGTAGAGACATGCACTTTCATATCAACAGTAGCCAGAACCTGCAGTAGGTCCCGCTTGACATTCATCGGGGTAAACTTGAGGTGACCTCTGCACCTGTCTATGATTTGAGCCATTTTAAGTGAAAATAAATGTGAGGGTGTCCTAAAATTTTCCTCAGTTACAATATGCATTTTTGTAGAATTAAATCAACACAAGATCTTGAAAAGTTTTTTATTTTTTTATTTTATTTGTTTAGTTATATTACCTTACTATTTCAATATAATTTTAAATTCAATATAGTTAAA